GTAAAGGATAGTATTTGTAAGATAATTAAGCGTCAATATACTTTTTATTGATTGTCAAATTTTTTTAGTTAGGATTGTACGGATCTGTTTTGAATATTAGGTAGAATATTAATATAAATTTTACCCTGATTTGATTTGTTTAGGATATTATTTATACTATGAATCTTAAATTTTGAGTAATTTTGAATATACATTAATATTTTAGTAATAGTAGATATTTGTAATCATCTACCTATTAATTGAGAATGTAGTTTAATGAAAAATATTGATTTGTTTTAATTTGATTGGTTAAAATCTGTTTTCTATCCTAATTAAATGTGACATGGAAATGATGATGTGTAATGATAATGTAATTGTGACATTGCATTTACTAACACATGTAGTTTATGACATGGCAAAAATATTTTTTTGTGATTTCATTAATAATTTTTTTAATTTAGATGACAAAATTTAGTGTACTAATAATTAAATCTGGAATGATTCGCCAAATGCATTACAAATGGTCTGATATTATTATTCATCTATATGGGTAATAGTAGATGAATTTTGGGCTGAACATGATGATTTTAATATATATATATATTATAATACTATAGATAATACTATATTATATATTTATTAAATTTACTATAGCTATGTCTTGGACCATTGTGACTTTCCATATAGATACACATATATATATTATAATACTATATTCATATGTAATACATGCACATATATTTTCAAATACTTCATTAGGCAAAATTATAATAACAAAATCACATTGATCAAATCATTTACATAATAATTCATATTTTTTGTAAAGGCGGTGCTCCATTTACGTGCACATATGTTTTCACATACTTTAGTTGGCAAAATTATAATAATAAAATAAGATATTATTTCAAAATTTAAAAATATTAGTTTAGTTCAAAAATAATAACAAATATAAATATAATATTTTGATTTAATAATCCTCTATATTATTTTTCGTAAGAAACGTTGAATATTCTAAAAAATCAACGTGCATCTAATCAAAAACCAAAATCATTATCCTCTACATTATTTGAAAAGTTCAATGTCCATATAATAAAACCCAAAAAGATCCATATAACATCATATTCATTCCAAATAACTAGTGAAAAAGTTAAATACTTGGATCCTTATATAAGAAAACATCACAACACACATGAGTATCAAACAAACCAAACCCTAACACAAAGTGCAGGCATGACAATTCTACCAATCCATTTATCTAAATCGAATATGGCTAAAATGAAACTTGAAGGTTGTGTAGACTCCAATCGTGAGTGTAATGAAGCAAGATTTTATAGTTACACTGAATTTTCAAACAAATAGGTTTGGCATCAAAAAATCAAGAAGTGGCTCCCTCGCAATAGACAATGTTCCCTATGATATCAGCCTTCCAGAAGTCTCAGAAGAATATGATGAGTTTTTCTACCTTAAACATGTTGCTAATTTTTTAGAGAAGACTAGTATGTTTCAAAGATATTATGACAGTAAACAGAGTTTTATATTCAAACTTTCCTGAAACATGTTTTGCAATAGGGTTAATTGAAGCACCTGATGCTTAAGTGGAGATGGTCTTGCAATTATTTGAAGAATCTACTTGATAAAATTATAAGTAGAAAAATCACACATATAAGTAGATCGAAACCAACAATGACGAAATCCTTGAAGAAATAATGTTTTAAATTGAGGAAGATTATTGGAAGACAGAGAAACTGAAAAACGTTTGTTCAAAAAAAAAGACAGAGAAGATAAAATTTGCAGTCTGATCCGCAAATCCAAAGAAAGTAACCAGCTATACACGAGTTTGACCCATTTGATCCTCTAACATAACTGGTAAAGTTTTACAAAGCCTGATCATGAAAATAATTTTTGTGTTTTCCAAATTTAATTATTATTTTTCAAGTTTGTCTCAAAATATAAATGAACATTTTGTTATAATAAAATATTTAGTTAAAATTAGATCATATTTTACTATTTAATTTAAAATCTTATAATTCAAAATGTTGACTTTAAGTTTTATATAGTACAAATAAATTATAATATTTAAAATAGATTTAGATATTATATTTAGATAATTACATTTTTAAAATTGTTCATGTCTGCACATACGTGCGGGCTAATATCTTAGTATAGGGTCAAATACATGAAGATCTATATATTTAAATATTTGGATTGGTTGTTAACTTGGAAAGATTTAGTTAGTTGGGTTGTTAAACTTTTATTTTATATATTTGGGTATATTCGAATGGGTTGTTAATTAAAAAAAAATGCACACGTCAATCATTTATATATATATATATATAGGTTTAATCGTTGTTGCTAAAAGTAATAATGATTTACTTAGTTAATTATATTTAAATAATAATGGATTCATTTTATTTTATTGGTCTCGATAGCAAAGGTTTAGGTCATTTATGGTTTGGATAACCAATGTTGGATTGGAACGATTGGTTTATCATTCAATAATCAGTTTTGCATGTTTTTATCATAAAATCAAATATTTTGGTTTTCTTTAAACGAAATGAAAAATGGGTCATTGTGGAAATTTGATAGTTATTTTGTGTGATTTTAAATTTTATGCTTAAGTGATGAATAATCAGTAGTTGAAACTCTTAGTATTATAACTTTCTTAGGAATTGAATTGGTTGATTAATAGTTTATAAAAATTTTTCAGGAGCATGGATGTTATTAATTGGGGAGTCAATGAATTCATCTGATGAGTATGTGTGGTAAGCGAAAACATTTGTTTGGTTTTAAAGGTTAAGATGAATCCTACCAATAATCCTATTTATTTGATTAATGTATAACAATAATTATGTTGTTGATGTTATATTTTATTTTATATTAACATAATGAAATCATAAAATTTTCTAGTAAATACAATAGCAGAACTTGTAAATATCATGATAGTTTTTGAATGATTCTCTTTTAATAGTTTAGATATTTACAAATATATAATTAATATATTTAATACCATTTACATAGTTTATACATAATATTTATATTAATTCATTAATGGAAAATGATGTAAATAATATGTTAGGTAAAAGTTAGTTTTTAAAAAATGATTCTCTTTAATAGTATAGATGGTAACACCTGGAGGATTTGTTTTAATTACCATTTAGACGGATATTTGTGTTTGTATATTTTGGAGAATTTAATTTTATAGTCAAATTGATTTTAACGAATATTAAATAATATATCAATTGTTTATGGTAGTTGTTTAAAAATAGTATAGTGTTACTCAAAGAATATGTGATACAACTTTTGAATTTTTATCTGCAAGTTTGCTATACCACAAGAAAAACAAAAACGATCCAAGTAATCTACTATACTATCTATATTAAGTCGAAGGAATTATGATATTAATATCAAAAATAATAATTTTGGTATATATTTTATTAAATTTTAATTTAATTCAGTCTCCGATTTTAATCGAATGGTCGGTTCATATATATATGTTTTGGTATATAATTTACTAGATTTTATTTTAATTTGTTTGGTTTATTTGCGATTGTTAAATAAAACAGATCGAAATTTATGACTATACATATTTAATATCTATTACAGCAGTTACTATCCACACAATGTTTTTACAATAAATTTTGCACACTCCAAACGTTCATGAGTTTCTGTGTAATGACATGTTTTAACTACTCTCTCCGTTTCAAAAAGAGTGTCGTTTTAGAGTTTTTTTTTGTTTCACAAAAAGTGTCGTTTTGTATTTCTAATGCAAATTTTTAAACAAAAATCTTGTTTTAATCTTATTATATTAATATATTAATTAGAAAGAGAATATTATTTTATGTGTGAACAAAGAGTAAAACAAAACTTTTAATCATTTCTTTAATTTGTGTGAAAAGTGTCAAAGTGACACTTATTTTGAAACAGAGGGAATATAATTTGGTGATTTTTTTTTCACTCATATTTCATAACAAGATCACACATTATAGAATGTATAATACAAAATAAAAGCCAGCAGAAAACCTTTGAAATGAATTTATATTCATAAGTTTCTTTAAAATGATCGATAAAACTCAAATAATTTATTAGTAGATGGTGGCAAGCTTGTATAACAATTGTGTACACTAACAAGTAAGTTTTTCATACTTTCTTGATACTTTACAAGTAAAATGATTTACACTTTTCAATTTTTTTTTGTTAAAAACACTTTTATTGATCCTACTACTAGATACTATAAAGGCACATATTGATCCTACGCATTGCCAAAAGGCACATTTGTCTTATAATGCTAAGTTCATTCATATTGAATTTTTAATTAAAATATGATTAATCTTTTAAATGACATTAATATTTTTTTTTTAATTTTCAAGTAAATATATATAGTTGGATAAGTTATGCAACATCATTTACGTTTAAATATATCTTTCATTATTCGAAAGAGAAATTAGTTTCTTACAATTTAATTTTATTATATTCTTTTAAATATCTTGATTTGAGTGAATAAAGCTACAATTATTTTTTTGCTCTAAAATTTGTTTGTTTTTATATTTAATGTAAGCTATTAGCTAAATAAATTATGCGCGATAACTAGCCATTGTAAAATAGAAGTATTTTATATTCGTTTATTGTTTGTTTTTATATATTTTTTAAATATCAACAAAAATGATGAAAAAGAAGAATGTGTAGCAAAAAAAATTCACCAAAAAAAAGTTATAAATATATACAACTAAGATTTCGATCCGCATCATACGCAGAGACTAAGTATCACCAATAACTATCTCAATTGCACGATCAATATTTTAAAGAGCAGAGACTGGTCAATTTTTTTGTTAATGGGTCGGGTCTAACTTTTTAAACGCTAACTTAAGAAACGCCGTAACTGATAATATAAATATGGGCCAGGCCCAAATTACGAGAAAATTTCCGGTACAGATGATCACTTTCTTCTCCTCTATTTCTTCCATTCTCCTTCTTCTTCTTCATCAGCCAGTCTCTGTTGATCTTGAAACACCATTGATACAATTATGGAGGTTTTCGTCGAGACTCAGAGTGGCTCAACGTTCTCCATTGAAGTGAACTCCTGGGATACATTGTTAGATATCAAAGAGAAGATCGAGAAGTCTCAGGGTATCCCTGTTTCCATACAAACCCTTTTCTTCCAAGGCAAGCATCTTCCTCGAGACGAGCTCTTAGCCGAACAATATGATATCGTGGACAAATCTCGCCTCTACATCTTCTTCCCTAATCAAGAAAACTATCAAGTGGTTCAGCAAACAGAGCAATCTCCAGTTCCGTCAAAGCCGATTGAAGATTGGTCCGAAAAGAATCAAGATTCGAGTTTGATGGCCACGAGCGAAAACGATCAAGTTCATCATCGAACGGAGCAATCTACAGTACCGTCAGATGAATTTAGTGAGCTACTTAATTACGACTGGTCTTCCATGGCGATGAGCAACGACGAGCACGTGGTTGATCAAACCGATAAATCTCTGGAATCGTCATATTCGGTCGAGGAGTTCCTCTGCGGCGACGAATGGCCTGCGACAACCGAAGGAAACTTTAATAATAATCAAGATTCGTCGATGGGAAACAACGAATATCAAGACTGGCTTCAAGAGGAACCATCTCCTCCGTCGAACTTACTTGGAGACTTCATGTTCGATGAGGATAAGCCTTTGTCAACCGGACATTTCACTAACATTCAAACTTTCTGGCCTGGGACTGGCTACGAGAATCAAGTGTTTCAAACCGAACAATGGCCAGTACCGTCAAGCTCATCACAACAGAGGATCAACGCTCAAGATTTTCCTGGGAGCAGCAATCAAGTGCTTCAAACCGAGCACTGGCCAGTACCGTTAACCTCAACAGAGCAGAGTATCAACACTCAAGATTTTCCTGGGAGCAGCAGTCAGTTGCTTCAAACCAACGAATCTCCGGTGATCAAAGAGGTCATTAACGTTCCGGATTCTCCTGTGAAGGCGAGGGTGGCCAGAAAACCACCACAGAAGCTGAGAGTGATGATGCTGCCATATTCCCGCGAGGATAAACCTGTGAGAAAGTTTCCGATGGAGGTGAACGCGAGTGAGAACGTTGAAGAACTGAAGAAAAAGCTGGAGAAGGTTCAACAGAGGTATCAGTTTAAGCTGCCTGAAAAAGGGTATATCTTTATACACGAACAGAGAGTGTTGGACTTTGATCAGTCATTCCGGTGGAACTGTGTTGCTCACGGTGATACAATTGAATTTTTTCCCGGAACGTATACTAAGAAATGAGGGCCCTGACGGCTCAACATTTGGTCACTGATCCTGAACTTAACTCTGTGCAGCCTCTCCTCTTTTCCTTATAGCTTTTCAGTCTTTGTTCAAAGTTTGCTTTTTTAATTGTTTCACAGCTTTTCTGCAACTATGCTAAAATCTTGTAATGGCCGATAATATGATCTGAAAGAAGAGAGACTTGTTGTTGAATTACCACCTCCTGTAAGAAGCAGTGATCAATCTTCATCTTAACCTCTGTGTTCCTCAATGATCTGGTATGACAGGAACAAGTATCAGGATCAAATGTGTTGCCTCAAATGTCAAATCTTTGTTGTAAAAAATGTTAGCTTGAGTTATCTCAATCAGAGTTGCAAGATTGAATGACTGATACACAGACCAACATGCTCAAACAGACGTAAAAGTTAAACCCTAATTGCAGCAAACACAATTTGACAACGCAACAGCACAAAAACTGGGCAGAGAGCGAGAGAGAGCTGGAGAAGACATTTGGTTTTCGCGGCTGTTTTGATAAGTAGACACAAGATTTTCTCAGCGTTCGATTAGACGAGAAACTTCTGATTTGAATCCAAAGTGGATTAATTTATCTTTTGGCTAACGAGGCAGAATCGGAAACTTTGATAACAAGTTTCTGTTGTCGTTTTTAATAAGAGACTTAGTCTCATTTTCGTTTAATGGGTCTTTGCAGTTACCGTTTTCTTAGCTACTAGTTGAACTAGTGTTTCCGTTTGTTTCGGTCGTTGTTATTTGCTTCAGTTGTATGTGCTTCGTATAAAAGGCACTGAACGATTATTCTAATAAAGTGATCATTTTAGTACAAACTGTGTTTTTTCTGATTTCAAATCACATTTGGTATCAGAGCAAAACAAAGAGAAGTGATCACAAGGGGAGAAAAAAAACCCTGATCGAAGAAAAACGACGAAGAAACTCGCCTGAGGAAGATGAATCAAGCTGTACATAGTTTAGAATTGAACGCGAAATGAAAAAAAATTGGGGAAGAATAGAAGAGAAAGCGGGTCAACTTTTCGGGTCATAATAACAAGGCCGGATCTAAATATTCTTAAAACGCTGCGTTTTCGCGGCTGTTTTGATTAGTAGACACAAGAAGGAATGTTTAAATTACCGTTGGATCATTTTGGTAAGAGGAGCTATCGACGGCTAACATTTGGGTCGAATATAACAAGAAAGATGAATCGGGGAAGAACAGAGACGGGTTAAAATCTCGGGTTATTGGGTCGGAAAACGCTGCGTTTTTGTTTTTTTTTATCCGTTGTAAAACATAAGTATTGTACCCAATAGCAGATACTTAATTTACCGTTGGATCATTTTAGCAACAAGAGATATTGACGGTTGAGATTATTCAACTTAATATAATACCGTAACAAACAAGAATTATTTTGATTCGTGAAGAAAGTGAGATTTATAACCAGTTTAGAAGGAAACACACTCGTTACAAATCATCACTTCCTCTAATCTCTCTCTTTAAGTCTTGACTCTCTTCTTTTTCTTCACCAATCTCGTCACCATTGATACAATTATGGAGATTTTCTTCGATAATAACGGAGGCCAGGCACTATTCTCCATGAAAGCAGAGTCATCGGATACAGTGTTAGAGATGAAACAAAAGATCGAAACGTCTTACGGTATCGCTGTTTCCAAACAAACCATTTTCTTCAAAGGCAAGCTTCTTCTCCAAGACCGTCTCACTCTCCAGCAATGTAAGATCGTCCACAAATCTCGCCTCGTGTTCTTCGGCCCTCGCCCTCGTTCCCAGAAACCTAATCACAACATCAGTCAAGTGCTTCCTCAAACAGAGCCATCTTCAGTACCGTCAAACTCAACCCAAGGGATCTTCAACATTCAAGATTCGTCCGAAAGGATCACTACCAATCAAGAATCGACTGTGATGGCGAGGAGCAACGACGATCAGGTGCTTCATCAGACGGAGCAGCAATCTCCAGTACCGTCGTATGCAATCAACGAGTTCCTTAATAAAGATTGGTCTTCGATGGCGAGGAGCGACGACGAGCACGTGGTTCATCAAACCGAGAAATCTCTGGAATCGTCAAATTCGATTGAAGATTTCCTTTGCGGCGAGGACAGGCCTGCGACAACCGAAGGAAACGTTAATATTCAAGATTCGTCGATGGGGAACAACGAATATCAAGATTGGCGTCAAATGAAACCATCTTCTCCGTCGAACTTACTTGGAGACTTCATGCACGGAGAATCAACAAACATTCAAAGTTACTGGCCTGCGATTAGCTACGAGAATCAAGGGTTTCAAACAGAGCATTCTCCAGTACCGTCACTCTCAACGGAACAGAGCATCAACGCTCAAGATTTGTCTGGGAGCAGCAATCAAGGGTTTCAAACAGAGCAATCTCCAGTACCGTCACTCTCAGCGGAACAGAGGATCAACGCTCAAGATTTTTCCGGGAGCAGCAATCAAGGGTTTCAAACAGAGCAAAATCCAGTATCGTCACTCTCAGCGGAACAGAGCATCTACACTCTAGAATTGTCTGGGAGCAGCAACCAAGGGTTTCATCAAACAGAGCAATCTCCAGTACCGTCACCCTCAACAGAACAGAGGATCAACGATCATGTGGTCATTGACATTCCAGACTCGCCTGTGAGGAGAAGCAGCAACAAACCGCCGAAGAATCTGAGAGTAATGATATTGCCATGTTCCCGCGAGGATAAACCTATGCCGAAGTTTCCGGTGGAGGTGAACGCGAGTGAGAAGGTTGAAGAACTGAAGAGAGAGCTGGAGGAGATTCAACAGAGGTCTCAGCTATATCTGCCTGAAGAAGGGTACATCTTTTTACACAAAGAGGGACAGAGACAGTTGAACAATGATAAGTCGTTCCGGTCGAACCGTGTTGCTAACGGTGATACAATTCAGATTTTCCCCGGAACGTATACTATGACATGAGGCCATGACGGCTCTACAGGCAACAAGTTTTTCAACATTTGGTCACTGATCGAGAGAGCTTAACTCTGTGCAGACTCCTCTCTTCCTTAGAACTTTTCAGTCTTTGTTCAAAGTTTGCTTCTTTTTTTTCGTTTCACAGCTTTTCTGTAAATATGCTTAAATCTAGATATGAGCTGAAAGAAGAGTGACTTGTTATTGTTGAATTTACCTCCTGTAAAAAGCATTGATCAGGCTTCATTTTTAACCTCTGTGTTCCATAAAGGTGGTTTAAATGACATTTTGAAAACTCCTCAGTGATCTGTTATTACAGGAACAAGTATAAAGATGAGATGTTTTACCTCAAATGTAACATCTTTGTTGACAAAAATGTTTCTCAATCAAAGTTGCTTGACAAAAATAGAGGAGGACTTACTTTACCGTTGGATCATTTGAGCAAGAAGAGGTATTGACGATTGATAGGAATGGTAAAACCCGACCAAAGTCATAATATTAAGTTGGAGTAAACAAAAGAAACAGAAATAAAAATCACATCTCGAGAGCAAAAAATGAGTAAATACAACAAACTTTTCTCCAAGATCATCATCATCATCTAAATCGTCTTTTCTTCCGCATATTCTCTGGCGGGAACTTGAGAGGGACCGGTAAGATCGCAAGAGAATTTTTATTCTCGCGCGAGAATTTGCATCCAAGGTTCTCAAATTGATTCCTCAGAACGAATTTGTCCATCCTCAGGTCCGTAGCAATGTCTTTTGGGTCGGTCTTGAACCTATCCACGTAAAGGACGAGCACAAGAACGTAACTTATCAGGAGGTTGATCTTCTCTGCAGGCATCCTCTCTACGTCAGAATCCTTGAACAAGGTCTTACATTTCTGACGTATGATCGGCGGAAACTTGTGGTTTTTAGCGGAATCGAAGCCATTCATTGAATTCAGGTCCTTGAACTTAACCAGATGGGTTAGTAACGATAAGACACTACAAACCGTTTGCTTCTCTGCCTCGTCCTGTCATTTACATAAAGCCAAACTGTTACCATGTATATGATGCATAACTTGCTACAAAAGAAAAGAGGATCTTGCAATTAATACCCTGATATCTCGCACCATGTCCAATCTGTTGCGGACAAATACAGGATAAGCATCGGTTGTTGCTCCGGCTTCCTGTCCGAGAAGCCTGTAAACATCTGGGAGGAAGTCCCATTCTCCACTGTCGATGATCTTTTCTATGGGATAAGCATTTATCGGAGTCGTCGCAGAGGCATCATGATGAGGAGGAATGTTGCGTGCAACAACAGCCGTGGTGCCTTCAAGAGCACTTGCGTTAACATCTATTCTGTAAAGTCTACCACCGTCAAGTGCCTCAGCATCATCTCCTAGGTTTCTCGCACGCCTCTTCTTCTCCTGCATTTACATTTGCCGAATGTTTCGATTGCCATCTTCTTTTCTGGACGTTGCGGTGTCTTAAACCCGTATTCCTCATCCATCCGGTCGTTCTGGTGATCTTCCGCCATGGTCCAGGAGCAGGATTCTCAGTCGGTCTTCAACAATGTACAAGAGAATACTGGAACCGGTAAACCCTAACTTGGCCCACAGTTTGTGTGGAAAAATTGCAGAACAAACCCTTATTCTTGAAGAACCAACTTGTTGGGCTTCCTTAACACAACAAATGAAGAGAATGATATCCTTCATCTTGCTTTCGGGCTCACCGAAACTGTAAACTTTCTCTCCTAAACGAAAAAAAAATACAAGAGTTTTTCATATGACAGGTCAAGACTCGGATCCCAAGTCATTGCAAGACCAGAGCTAGATGGTGTTCGCTTATTCCTTCAGCCACAAGTAACTTTGCCGTTGATGTAATTGTTCCAAAAACCATATTCAGCGATTCTATGATCGTTTTGGCTACTATATAATGGAACCTGAGGAACTAAAGGACCCAAGAGATGATTCATGTTTCTTATAGATTTTTGATGTTTCTATTAGAGATGATCTTATTTTTGATCTTTGCATTTCTTGTAGTCTCTGAGTTTTAATCAAAATAGCAGCAACAATACATGCTGTCATTAAAAGGAAGACGAAACAACCACTGAGTTTACAAAATATATTGTAGAAAGACAAAAGCTCTGGCAAAGCAAAAGACACACAGATCCATTAAAACTACGAGCATGCTTAATGGTTATATGGGTCATCAATAAAGTCATCATGATCTTCATCAGATGAATCCGTATCGGTAACCATTGCATCAAATGGGTAATCATCATCTTCATCTTCAGATGATTCCATATCGTTTCAGTGAGCCCTTCGTTTGTTATTTGATAGCAATTTTCAAGTTTTAAGGCTTCTAAGATTACTTGAACTGCAAAATAACAATAACAATATGATGCAAAACATATTATTCACAAAAGAACTTTTCCTAAGCATCCTCAAGATCTAAGAAGCATTCAACCACAGAGGATATTTCAGGACGAATACTACGAGTTGACAAAATCTTCAAAGAAACGAGAGAGAGAGAGAGTGAGAAAGAACCTATCGGCGATGTAAGAGAGGAGAGAATCAGAACCGAGGTACGAAATGTCGATCTCAACCTCCTTGGCTGCGATCAACTGCGTGACGGCACATAGCCTCTAGGTCGTACCCAATGCTGCTCAAGTATCCATTATCATCATGCATCACAATCTTCCGCCACAACGAAGGGTCTTTAGAGACGCGACGCCACGATGTACACACTGCCTGAGCGCTGTCCAATATCTCAATCGCGCCGAGCTTGTGCAGGATTGATGACGTCAATTCCGACGGAAGCTCCGCCCAGTTTCTATATTTTCCGTTTTCCATCGCCGGAGGCAAAGACGAAGGCTTAGGCGACTGCAAGGATGAGGCCATTCTCTCTGATGGACAAACTGTGTGTCAAGTCCTTTAAGTAAGGGACTGAAGTCGTTTCAACTTTCAACACATTAAGTAAGGGAGTAAAGTCGTTTCAACTTTCAACTTTCAAGACACAACTAAAAGAGTGAAGTAGTTTCAACTTTCAAGACATAAGACATTTAATGGAACCTGAGAGGCTAAGCACTCAAGAGATGATTCAAGTTTCTATTAGAGTTTCGATGATTTGCTTACTGAGAGAAAACAGTTTTCATTACATTCTTATTTTTTTTTTGTAAGATTCTCACTGCTGAATAGCACAAGGCTTGCTTACATTAACAGTTGTAACAGCAGCAGTGTGCGTAATCATCATCTTCTTCAGATGTATCCGTTTCGTAGACCATTGCATCAAATGGGTAATCATAGATCGAGGCATTAGGTCGTCTCACAACTTTGATCCTCTCGAAACACCTCTTCTCCAGATTTCCAACAAGGTTTAGGTTGAAACAGTGGCGCACATCAAGATGTTCCAGGTTAGGACAATTATCAAGAATGGTGATTAAACCTGCGTTTGTTAATCTGTTCCCGAAAAGCTGGAGGTGGCGAAGTCCGGGCATTGTTGCAGCGATTGCTAGAGCATCACCGTCCCCGTTCCAATAACCGTTTAGGTTCAATGTCCTCAGATTTGGACAAGACTTGCCTACAGCTTTCAGGGACTCTTCTGATACTGAGCAGTACGAAACCTCGAGGTCCTCAAGCAATGGAAGTTTCACAACCGCTTCGGCAAATCCTTCGCCTGATAGTGGATTGCACATTGCAAGTTTAAGGCTTCTCAGATTACTTGATCTGCAAAAATACTTGTGTATAAATGTAAGAAGCATAATATATAAGCTGGAGAAGAAAGAACGAAATGATAAAAACAACCAATGAGTGACTCAAAATACTCCAAAACCAGTCATAAGCTAATGATAATCTTCATGACCTAAAAAATCAGACGATATATATGATCTTCGTGACGAAAATATTTTCATACAACGACTGAAATCAAGAAAACCAAACGATTTGAGATATATTGAGAGAGAGAGAGAGAGAGAGAGAGAGAGAGAGAGAGAGAGAGAGAGAACCTCTCGGCGATGTAATTGAGGAGCTCATCATTACAGAAGTACCAAATGTCGATCTCAAGCAAGCCTCCCTGGCTGCGACCAACTGCGTGACGGCACATAGCCTCGAGGCCGTAATTCGAGAATCTCGAGTCTTTGACGTTGTGCATGTCAATCGTCTTCCACAACGCCGTTTTTACACACGCTTCGCCAGGAGCTGCACACTTTCTCGATTTCCAGTATGTCAAGCGTACCAAGCCGGCCCAGGATCGAAGACGTCAATTCCGATGGAAGCTCCGCCCAGTTACTATATCCTCCGCCTTTCATCGTCCGACGCAAAGACGACGGAGGAGACGAAGGATCCGCCATTTTTTAAGAGTTTCATTCAATTCGTTTTCCTTCTCTAAATACGAAACTAATTTCGACCAAGCCTAATTAAATTTTGGGCCTATGCCTATAATTAACCTATACCTACTGAAAAAGCCCATCAAAGTCGGAAGGAAATAACAATACTGAAGAAGAGACAAGAGGAGACATGAAGAAGTTCACAAGACCAGCAAAAGCCCCAAGTTCTCTGCGTTGTTCAGAAAGATTCAACATCATACAACACTGAGACTACTAGTAGGAACAACATATTAGAGAAAAGAGGAGACATGAAGAGGGGTTCACAAGTTCAAAAGTTCTCTGCATTGGTTCGGAAAGATTCAACATCCAGTACCAATCATCATAGACTTCATATCTCAATCGTAAGGAAGTTAGTAAAGTCGATATGGAAAGAATATGGGTAACCAACGGTTGAGTCCTTGGGGCGTCTCAAATCTTTGATCCTCTCAACACATCGCTTCTCCAAATCCCCGGCAAGTTTGATGTTGAGACACATGCGTAGATCGAGGTGTTCAAGGTGAGGACAACCTTCAAGAATGGCGTTCAAGCCCTTGTTGGTTAGTTTGTTCCCGAAAAGCTGGAGGTGTCGTAGCCCTGGCATGCTTTCTGCGATCGCAAGAGCTTTCTCATCGTTGTGCTCTTCATCTTTAAACAGGCTGTAAGGATCGGAGTTTAGCTTCAATGTCTTCAGGTTCGGACAAGACTGGCCTGCGATTTTCAGAGACTCAGATGACAATATAATGAATGAAACCTCGACTTCTTCGAGCAACGGCAGTTTCGCAACTGCTTCCACAAATGCTTCGTCTGATATTGGATAGCACATTATGAGTCTAAGGGTTCTCAGATTACTCGACCTGCAAGATAAATAGTGTCTAGAGAGTTACAAAAACAGAAGAAGAATACAGATGCACAAAGAACCTGAAGCCAAAAACATTTAGACTTCAGAAGCATAACAATGTCAGAACTTGGAATCGAGTGGAAATTTTCCTACTCCAAAAATGGGATTAACAGTCACAAACCTGAAAAGATGAACATTCAACTTCGTTGTGATTCACAAAACTACTGATTCAACGAATTGATTTCAAGTTTAAAAGAGTTACACAAGCTAACAATGGCTTCCCTCAATTCTCAGACTACTAAGATCTTTCATTTCTAACCCTAGAAATTGGCACACGCAATCAACAAATGAAATCAAAAATATGCATGGCTCTGAGTCACATAGTTAAGAGAGAGAGTGAGAGAGAGAGAGAGAGAGAGAGAGAGAGAGAGAGAGAGAGAGAGAGAGAGAGAGAGAGAGAGAGAGAGAGAGAGAGAGAGAGAGAGAACCTATCGACGATGTAAGTGAGGGTGTCATCATTAGCGAAGTACCAAAGGTCGATCTCAAGTAAGCCGCCTTGGCTGCGATCAACTGCGTGACGGCACATAGTCTCGAGGGCGTAATACATGTTTCCCAAGTCTCCGGAGTTATGCATATCAATCTTCCGCCACATCGAGGGGTCTTTACAGACGCGACGCCACGATGTACAAACTTTCTGAGCATTTTCCAGTATATCGACCGTGCCAAGCCGGAGCAGAATCGATGCCGTCAGTTCCGGCAGAAGATCCGCCCAGTTTTTATATCCTCTGTCATTTATCTCTGAGGGCAAAGACGAAAACTAAGACGACGGTGGCGGCAACAGAGAAACAGATGATAACTAGGGATAAAGAGGTTGATAACAAGGTGTGTAGATAACAAGGTGTGTAGATGACAAGATGTGAGGTTTTATTTGGTTGATGAACCAATATGCACTTATCTATAATCTCATTACCTTTTCTGTAATCTCACTATCTCCCTTCTGTTTTTTTTTTTTTTTTTTTTTCATCTAGTAATACAAATATCAAAGTACTCCGATGTAACTGAATCAAGGGAGATAGTGAGATTATAGAAAAAAAAAAAACAGAAGAGAGATAGTGAGATTTTTTTTTTCATCAATTCTATTTGTTTTTGTTTTTGATATGTAAAATACTGAGATGTAAATAAATTAAAAATGAAAAAATAAAATTAATTAAAATTAAGGGATAAAAAGA